GGCTTCGCCAAGAGACACCTTCCGACGCCGACCGCCCTCTCCCCGCGCCTTCGCGCCTTCCCCCCCGTGCCAGCGCCGCTCTCCCGGCTTACAGACGGCGCGGGAGGCGAAGGGTGGGAGGAAAGGGGATACGAGGCACCACTCATTTACTCTTGCGAGGAAGAGGCAAATAGAGGGGGATGGCTGTCCTTAATGTTTTATATTTCTGTGTTAAGTATGTGCGAGGCCTCTGGGCGGAGAGTTTGACAGGGAAAGAAAGCCCGGGCAGATACTCTGTTTCAGGTTCTTAAAACCTAATGGCCTGGCCCTGGGCACCGCATGTTAATTTCAGAGGCTCGACCTGACCTCCAAGAATTGCCTGTATTCTCTTCAAGGCCTTTTACGGCCTTTGGAAAACTCGAATGATGTCAATCAGTATTATCCCTTTTTTAAAAATTATGCTTGATTTTTTTTTTCCCTCCCCCATTTGGGCTTTTCCAAAACTTAATAACTGTCTTTTGCCTGTGCTTGTAGTTTGTAGTCTCTTGGGTTTTCAATAATTTCATTAATTTTAATTTTTATTTTGTCTTAATCTACAGAGAACTGACTTTCTTTTCTAGAAAACTTCACTCTGGGTAAAAGGGGAAAAGTCTGGATACAAAAGAGTTCTATAGGGTAAAATGGATTTGAAGCTACAAAGGAGAGCAGAGAACACTAGAAAAGAAAGGGAGAAATGCCTGTGTCAGAGCTGTCTCCGTGAAGAGTATTGTGAGGTCTAGGCGAGGCAGAAGCCTTAGGGAAATGCCCTAATGATGTCTGGGTTTGAGGGTTTATCCCTGGCTGGGTGGGCTTCAGTAGCAGCCAACTACCGTTCCCTCGGGAAATTCTTCGAATCCCTCGCTCCTCCCTGTGGTTGGCTCTGGAATGACAGTGTAAACGCAGAGGTCTGTTCTCAGACTCAGATACACCTGCAGTTGACTTGGAACAGTTCTGTCATTAGGTGGGGATCCTATAGTTCATCTCATCTAGTTGGGCTCCGCCTTTTACAGCTCAGAAGTCGAGGCCCAGAAAGGTCCGAACACTTGTGCCTTGGTGGAAAGAATCTGTAGGATGAAATTGTTCGAGATACTGGATGTTTGTCATCTGAAGTGTAATGTTCCTATTTCACTGTGCTGCACAGGGTTGAGCATACAGAGTGCTTGGTGAATGTCATTGTCTGACTGTTGGAAATACCTGGATATAGTTTCCAGCGGGAAACATTTATATAATGGGGTTTGGGTTAGTTGGTAGTTTGGAGGTTCCGTTTCTATGACATTTTCTGTTAATATTTTAAGATTTGAGGTGACTATCTCATCTCACAGTAAGACTTTTCCTTCAGGTTTCTCATTCCATACTTTCCAGTTTACTCTCTGCTATGGTTTTTCCATTTCTTAGTACTATTCTCATTTTCTTTATGAATTGGGTATTCAGTTGCTCAAGTCATTTGCTCAGTGATTCTGTGCTGTTTGCTTCCTCTCTGCAGGACATTTCCCTTTACTTTTGGTTTCTCTGTTAACTAGAAAATGACTTTTTTTTTTCATCTGGGGCTGTTTGGTTTATAGGAGATCTCATTAGACTATTACTTAGATCTTAATCTCCCTTTTGAGAGATAACTAGTTAGGGTTTTTTAAAAATCCTCCCAGTTACACAGTTTCTGAATTTATCTTTTTTGAATAGTTAAATATAGCTAATCAGCCTGGCCGGAGTGGCTCAGTGGTTGAGCGTACGCCTATGAACCAGGAGGTCACAATTCGATTCTGATAAGGGCACAGGCTGAGTTGTGGGCTTGATCCCCGGGTATGGGGCATGCAGGAGGCAGCCAATCAATGATTCTCTCTCCCTTTCTCTGAAATCAATAAAAATATATTTTAAAAAATAATAAATATAGCTAACCAAATCATCTTCAAGTCCTGTTTGGGATCCTTTTCTGCTTCTATGATACTTTCCCTTTGGCTTGGTGTTTCCTTTCTCCCCAAAGTATAACATAGTTTCTTTGGTATGGCAAGAAAATAACTGCATCTAGCTTCTTGAGTGAATCTTTTCATCAAGTGTACTCCTGTTCCTCTTAACCTTTGGGGCTTAATTCCACCAATTACATCTATTGACCTTATTTGCTTGGTTCTAATGATTCCGTTGAGGTAAGTTTATCATGCCAGTATGCTTTACAAAGGTTGCTAAAATCCTCACTGATAGATTTAACCTTAAGAAAATACTATTTACCCCCTCTCTTAAGGGAAGGATGGCAACTATCAGTAGCTGGCATTTTACACTTTCTGCCTCTCTCCAGCTCCTCTTTTCCTTTCTTTCTTTTTTTTAGAGAGAGGGAAAGACAGAGAGAAACATTGATGTGAGAGAAACACATCAATTGGTTGCCTCCTGACCAGGGCCCAGGCAGGGGGAAGCCAAGGTACATGCCCTTCACCAGAATCAAACCCGGGACGCTTTGGTCCACAGGCGTCAGTCTCTGAATCTTTTTTTTTTAAATATTTTTCTTTATTGGTTTCAGAGAGGAAGGGAGGAGAGAGAGATAGAAACATCAATGATGAGAGAGAATCATTTATCGGCTGCCTTCTACACGCCCCCCACGCGTGACCGAGCCCGAAACCCAGGCATGTGCCCTTGGCCGGAATCGAACCTGGGACCCTTCAGTCTGCAGGCTGACGTTCTATCCACTGAGCCAAGCTGGCCAGGGCTCCAGCTCCTCTTTCTATGGCACCAGGGTGCTTTGAGGAGGGGTAATCAAAATACCAAAGTTGAAGTTCTCTTCCTTTCTTCCTTCTCCATGGTTTGGAGGGAGCCTTAAGCTAGCTGAGGTATGTATTTTGGGGGTTAAGAGGTAGGTAGTGAGCCCTAGCCGGTTTGGCTCAGCAGATAGAAGAGTCATGGTTCAATTTCGGGTCGGGGGCACATGCCTGGGTTGTGGGCTTGATCCCTTGTGGGGGCTGTGCAGGAGGCAGCCGATCAGTGATTCTTTCATCAATGTTTCTCTCTTTCCATCTCCCTTCCTCTCTGAAATCAATAAAGATATATTTAAAAAAAAAAAGAGGTAGGTAGTGAAATGGTGCCTGAGAAGTATATGTGGAAAGTTCCGAGTTTTTGGTGGCTAATGAGAAATCCAATCTGAAATGAAGTCTTCTTTAAAAAATATTTTTTATTGATTTCAGAGAGGAAGGGAGAGGGAGAGAGAGATAGAAACATCAATGATGAAAGAGAATCACTGATTGGCTGCCTCCTACATGCCCCCCACTGGGGACCGACCTGCAACCCAGGCATGTGCCCTTGACTGGAATCAAAACTGGGACCCTTCAGTCCTCAGGCCCACGCTCTATCCACTGAGCAAAACCCTATAGGGCTGAAATGAAGTCTTAAAAGGTTCTTGTGGTTTTTGGTTGTGAGTTTTCTAGAAGTGATAAAATGCTTTCAGTGGGGAGGTAAGATTAAAGAAAAGTTTCTCTAAATTATATTTGCCTTTTTTTAAGGGAGTATAATTTTGAATACATTAGTTGTTCACTGCTAGGTTATTAATGGTCATAGAGGGTTGTCTAGAATTGAATGTAGATAGTGTTGAGTAGAAAATTCTTAAGATATCTGAATGACAGTTTCAATTATTTTATTAGTGGACAAAAATATAAACTAAACTACCTTAAGCATGCTGTGGGGTTCCACTTGAGAGAGGGCATCTGAGGCTGAAGGGCTTTTATGTCTGATCCTCAGATTAGTGTCTCATCTCCAGCTTAAAACCCTTTTTTACTTACTGAACCAGGTCAGAATTCCATTGTCTGTGATGCAGTTTAGCAATTCTTATAAAAGGGCATTGTTTTCATTTGATGAGCAGGCAGTACCTCTTCTTCACAATTCAAAGATTGTATGAAATGATATCAAAGTTATGCCCATTAATATGGAGAAATTGTTTTCTATTATACTATTTCTTTATAAGTTCTCAAGTACAATCAGACTGGCTCAGGTACAATCAGAACTTATTCCTCAAGATTTCAAGAATATTTTACATCAATTATTTCTATTGCCCAATCTCCTAGCAGTTGTTACTACTGCTTCTCGGTTCCTGGTCCCCTGTTGGGTTATCATTTTGAAATTATCCTTGAGAGGTAAGGACTTGATTGTGAGTGTAGAAATTTAACAGATTTGATCAATAGCTCTTCTCATTTTAAGCTGTTATTAAAATTATGCTTTCTGGGAAGCACAAATCTTTAGAATTGAATTTAACTTAATTCAAAGATGGCGAATAACAACTTTCAAATAACAGTATTTGAAAATGTACCTACAGGTCACTTTTAAAGTAACTTTGAACCTGGCTGGTGTGGCTCAGTAGTTGAGCATAGATCCATAAACTAGGAGGTCACTCACTGTTTGATTACTGGTCAGGGCACATGCTGGGACTGCAGACTCTTTCCTCAGTAGGGAGAGTGTAGGAGGCAGCCGATCAATGATTCTCATTGATGTTTC